TTTGGCTATGTCTTGGCTACTTTAATATTATTTTTACGTGTTTTAGCTGGCAACACTCATTCGACCATGAAAGGGAGCCAGTATTTAAACGAGGCTTAATTTTCTAATTTTTAACGATACAATAGCGACGATTATTATTTAAAAAAATTTTTGTTAGGCTTAACATCGATGAAAATTCAACGCGAAGTAGGTTAATAGCGATATACTAATATACTAATTACATGGGATATAAAAATATACTACACTAATAATGGATTTTTTCATACTTTTCGGTTATCTGACTTTTCAATTATCTGACCAACCCCAGTCCCCAATTGAGTCGGATAATCGAGGCTCTACTGTATTATATTAATTATGATTATTCCTTATGATTAAACCTTCTGTTATTAAGGACTTTTATTTTGTCAATCATCTTTTATTTATTTCATCATAGTCATCATTTTATTTACTTTATTTGCAAAAGATAATATAAAATTAATTTTTTTTATCATATTATATCTAGTTTTTGTTTTGTTTTCTGATCAACTACTTTTGTTCGGTTGCAGTATGAAAACAATGTAGACCTATAAATTCCCACTGTTATCCATCCGTCTTTCCTTAATCTCAAGAACAGATCAAATCTGAGACCAGATATGAAAACCTTAGTGGCTGGAGGCCCTGATCAACTACATATGAACATCCAATGCAAACCGGAAGTAATTTTATTTCAGTTCAAAACTTCCCCTGAAAGCAGTTAATAGATGACTGGCATGACTCTATTATTAAAGGAAAAGTATGATGTACAGGGGCAAGACACTACTAATAATTTGAGGTGGAAAGCATATATTTTAAATTAAATAAATTAAAAATATGATTAAAAATTGCAGCTCAGCATTGTGATGATGTCACAATAAATAATTGCTTATTCAGTTTTGGTTTCATTTTCTCTATGAGTGATGAGTTTTAGATTTGTTGTGTAAAGCAAAGCCATGGATCATTAAAGAGAATAAAAAGCTTTAAATTTAACATTAAAAAATATATATAATTCATCAGATTAAAGGTGAAAATCTCAAGCTGAAGTTGGTAAAGAAATTTTTCTGAGTAAGCAGATAATTTCAGACATTTGGAAAGCAAGAAAACACTACAACAGACTTTTCAAAAAACAATTCTTAAAATATTAAAAAAATAATAATTGAATAAAAGTATTGTTTTATAAGTTTAATAAAAATCTGTCTTACATATTTTATTACTGAAATTTTATCCACTATGTGATTGACTTTTGTCCACATTATTGATATACAATAATGGATAAATTGATATTACAATATACAGTAGTATTCCATTTTATTCACAGCCATTACTGTGAATATAATGGAATGAGGTAAAAATATATTGATTTGGCATCTGAACCTAGAGAAAACATCCAAAAACTGCAGATATTTTCTCCAGGTCTGTTATTGAGATCTGTTCTAACATGATTCTATTGTATAGTAATAGACTTTTCAATATAAAAAGACAAGTCTGTAATAAGGAGTAATCAGGATAAAATGAACTTTTATTATAACAGACTGATTTCTTTGGTCTCATAGTTCATTAAATCAAGCTGTTACTGTATTTGGTAATCAATAAATTCTATAATTACATAAAATCTTGTTAAGAATGAGATATTAGAAAAATACATGAAAAGTTAGATTTTTTTTATTGTTTTGCAGTGGCGTCCTGTGACATTTGATGATCGGGAAGCTGTGTTTCTGTAAGAAGCCAACTTCCAGAGGCAATCAGTTAATTGTGCATCAGTGATGGTCTAGGCCCTCTAGGGTCCATTCGTATTCATTTGTTCAATAAACTAGTAAAAACAGTAGACTTCTCTAATAGTATTTTTAATAGATTATCTGACATACAAAATAAACAAGTTCAATATAATTATCTTTGTTATTAGATTCAATAGATTCCCTATGCCTTCTAAATGCCAATTCTTGCTTTGATAAAAAACATATTATATCTAAATTAATAGATGTTATATATCTATTAGCTGTAACTATCTTGTTATAATTTTCAATATTTATTTTATATTATTTACTAATGTTAANCTCTTCACATCCAGTTGTCAGTGATTTGTTTTTAGAGTGAGCTTTTGCAATTCGGGGATTCTTCTTGTACATGACACTTACTATCGACAAGTTGCTATTACATCATTCTGAGTTTCGCATTGAAAGGTATAAACTGTAATTGTTTTGAAATTAAATTTTATTTTAGTGGTGTTTTGTTCATTTTTATAATAAGTAGCGAGTTTAAATTTTGCTGATTTCAAGTTGCAGTAATAAGCAGCCTATTTCTTTTAATTTCTGCAAACTTTTTTATGCGGTTTTAAGTTAATTTTAACTCGTTGTTTTGGTTTTATGCGATTTTAGAAAATTACGGAACGTATCCCTACTTTTTCAAGGCAAGTAAAGTCTTTTTTTATGCAAATTTTTTATATGCGCTTTTCTGTAGAACGTATCCACCGCATAAAACGAGACCTTACAGTATACAGCTCAAAAAGCTTGAGCTGTATACTCCATTGAGTATGGCAAATGCAATGACAAAGTGTAAGCCATAAATTCTGTATGAAATAATGCATGCACACAAGAATATGCTTAAAAACTATAAAACTGTCTCTGAAAAAACGAATTTACCAAAAACTGTACTTTATGGAAAAGTAAAACATTTGGTATATAAAAAAGGAGATAAACTTGTCATTACAGGACGTCTTTGCAAAAACATGAACTGATACATATGGTACCTTTTTACAAATCTTACAAAACATAAAGAATAGAACATAAGTTTGTGCCAAGTTTGAAAGTAATAACAACAAAAAGTGTTATTTCAAAGGACATATTACTCTGATCAAAAAATATCAGGAATGGTTCATTTAAACTGCATGTGTGCTGTCATTGTGTTTTCATTGCTTGGTATGACTCATTATCATCAGTTTCTTTTGTATTAATTGCAAATAATTTTTGTAATTATTCTATCAACGATCAGATTCAGGATGACTGTTAGTCAACAATCTCCAGAGCTGAAATCCTTTTGGACCTGTAGTTTTTTATCACATGAAATAAATTCTTTTTTCTATCTTCTACTTTGTGTGTGTTATTTTATTTGGGTGTTTGTCCTCATTGGTCAACTAAACCCTTTCTTAATTATCACAGTTGATAATGGAAAATATAGTTGTTAATAACACTGTACATTTCTATATAAGGTATCTGGAAATAAGTTAGTTTTTGAGTGTTTTTAATACAGTAGAGATAACAGAACAAAAACATACAGTGACTACTCATTGTGCCTTAGAACATAGAAATGCTGTCCATGTTTAGAAAAATGTTCTGTAAAGATTAACTCTGGAATTAGAACATTAGATGCTATACTCATTTCCCTAAAACTAACTCACTCATATTGACTTCTTTTTATTTGCTGGTATATCCAAAATGATTTGATAGAAATGCATTTGCTGGATGTTGCAATGATATAATCAATATACATAACTTCCATGTGTGTACCACTTTTCTAAACAAAGTTGAAAGCAAGTGAAGTTTCAAAATGCTCTGGTGAAAAATTGTGCTAAATGCAGTTACAACACTGGATCTGAAATGAAAAAATATATAAATTTTCATATATAAAATAATTGACAATATTCTCAAAACAGAAAACTAATTTATTAACTAACAAAACTAGTAAATAAAATTAATTTATATTAAGAAAAAAAAACAAAAATTGAGAACATTCATTAAAATTCTGGAAAAAAATGGTTGATGTGCATTTTCTCCAATAGAATCTTTTTGTTTAGTTTTTTGAAGTTAGGTCATGCATTCACTTGACTGGTCAATGGCCATGTCAGTACATGGAATAAATATTAAAATAAATATCAGCCATTTAAACATTCTAAATCAGAAAATTGATTTAATGCAAAATGAAAGATTCTATAATTGTAACAAAACACTTGATTTTAACACTACTAAAATGTTAGTAATACTGAAATACATCCTCACTTGTACTTCCATTACTTCTAGTTTTAAGTTAGTTTAAGACATTGTGAATGAGTAATTATTAATTAAGCATTTGTTATGGTTATTGTAAGCTTGTAAGAGGATTGTAAAATAAACTTTTGTTTCATATGATAATGACTTTTGTTTGGTTCTTTTTCTACTTAAGAATTCTTAAACTTCTACTTGAACTCAGAAAGTGGATTGGCCATGTGTTTGTGGAAGACTTATCTTTATTCTGATAGCCTTTCAGAGCACCAGATATCATTTCCATGACTTCTTCTGATACTATGTCTATATAATACTATCTTTTATGATTCTTTTAGAGAACAAAAAAAAACAAAGTTATTTATTAAGACATTTTTGAATAACCTTGTATATATAGTGTGATCAAAAAGTTGCTCTGCAGTGTGTGGGAAAATGGGATGAGCTTCCAGGAATAAAGTAATGATGTCACAGACAGCTTGTGTGTGGAAAGAGTTAATAAATATCCTAAAAGTTTATGACACAAATGCAACTATAATTACAGTTATTATAATTAATATTTATAATTATTTCTCTATAATTAATATATACAAACATTTATGAATTCACATATAGATACTTATGAAATTTTTAAATCAAACAATTTCAAAGATAATTATTAATTTCATTTTATATTATTTTTAGAATTTTGACAGTTTGCTTTATAACACTAATAAAATTCCAAGTAATATTCCTTCAGTATCAAGATATTTAACAGTTATGAGATCTGTTCAATGGATAGATGATTCTGTATATAAACATTTACAAGTAAGTATTAAAATATTTCATAATTTCTTTATTTAATATCAGGATTAGGATTCAGAAAAACTTTTTACATTGATGAAAGTTTTATTATTTTTTTGACATATAAATATCAGAATTTTAAAGTTGATTTTTATTACTTAAATTTTTGTTCATAATTTAATGATAAAAATATTTTTATTTTAACTTTTCAACTACTTCTAATATTTTTCTGTATATATAGTTGATAGACACTAATTTTTTTTTAATAGAATATAGAAGCATATTATCAGTTTTTATAGAATATCAAAGATAAACTTGTAGAGTTGAATTGTTTTATCATAGCTTTCAATAACTGAGAACAACCTTTTTAAAAGTACAATATTACTGTTGAAAGAATAATGACTGACAAGATGAAGAAATTTGATGACTTAGATTCAATGTCAATTAGTTGATAACTATATTGAATTGTGACTGTACACCATAATTTTAAGTTATTATAGAATATTCTAGATTGTAGTTTTTGTAGGATTGTTGGCTCGATGCTACTTGCCTGAAGGTCGACTTAAAGATGAAAGGTTATGACCCTCGCTTTGCCTGCAATTCGTCAGGATGACACAAGAAAGTTTTTTTACGTATGGGGGTAGTGGTTTGCTGGATGCAAAGAGATTACACAGAGATCAAAGTGATCAAATTTACGCATTTATTTTAACAAAGACATCATGCTTACAGACAAGGCTAAAGGATGTATTGAAGTTCTTCCGAGGAAAGTTTGTTTTGGATGATCTGGAATGTTTGTACCAACCAGCGAGTGTTTGTTTGTCCTTTCAGAGCTCTGAGAAGATTCGGATGCGGGAAGTCCTGGAGTGGAGAAAACATCATCGGGAAGTTAAGTCCCTTGTTGCCCCTGCACGCGGAGTCTTTGGGGTTTCTCTTTTGTTCTTCGTTGGAGTATCCACAATGCCATACACAAGGATAGACGTTCTTGATCACTACCTCCCTGTGTCCTTCAGATCCTGGGCTTTTATATCATTTTCATCTGAAATCCTGAGGTTTTGGTTGGTCTGAATGGTGGTCTCCTGTAACTTCATTGGTCCCTGGTCTGTTGTCAGGGACGTGATTTGGGCCGTGGGGTCAGCGAACACTTCTGAAAATCCCCATCCAGGCCGCCCTCCCCTGGAGTTGGGTGAAGCCCTTCCCTGGGTGACGGTCCTGTAAATTTGGGTGTAATGTGTTTTCCTGACTTGGAG